TGAAAAGATCTGGAACCCAGAGAGCATAGAACAAGTCTCTAGCCCTGTGTTCTTCCTGCAAAGGGACAAAATGTATTAAGAGGTTGTATCAGCCTCAATTGGAAATTACATTTAGGGAAACTACATGGTGAATAATCTAGGTATGACTGTACCTTCCCATGGTTCTTCCGCAGCTCCAGAAACTCAAAGACATCAGCATGCCATGGCTCCAGGTATACAGCAAAGGCTCCTTCACCAATTACAAAAAATATACATCAGATACACTGGAGACCATATGCTGCACAGATGATTATGCTAATAGTACAAAGTGCTGATATGTACCCTTTCTCTTGCCTCCTCCTTGGTCAACATAACGAGCAGTATCATTGAATACACGCAGCATTGGAACAATACCATTAGATGTTCCATTTGTGCCACGAATGTAGCTTCCAGTTGCACGGATATTATGAACCGAAACACCGATACCTCCGGCAGATTTGCTTATAACAGCACATTCTTTGAGTGTTTCGTAAATGCCCTCAATGCTATCATCTTTCATGCAGACTAGAAAGCAGCTGCTTAACTGCAAATTCAATTATTTTCACTAGCAGATCAGCAAAGACACGTATTAAAGTATAACCCATTATATAGGTAGATATACATAAATATCAATAGATAGGTATTTACTTGAGGCCTTGGAGTTCCTGCGTTGAAGAGAGTAGGAGATGCATGAGTGAACCATCTCTGAGACATCAAATGGTAAGTTTGGATTGCTGAATCAATATCGTCCTTGTGGATGCCAACAGCAACCCTCATCAGCATGTGCTGAGGCCTTTCAACAACTGTCCCTTGGATTTTCAAGAGATACGATCTCTCAAGAGTTTTAAATCCAAAGTAATCATATTCGAAATCACGGTCATAGATTATTTCACTGTCCAAACGAGCAGCGTTCTGAAGAAACCAAAGTACAGCACAAGTCAGTGATCTACAAGATACATATATAAATATCACACCAAGAAACAAATTAAATTGAGAGCCTAACACAAGCTTTTCTTTACCTGCATAATTATGTCAAATACATCATCAGCTATTAGAGGAGACTTTAGTCCAGATCTATCATTGACATGATTGAACATATCCTTAATCCTGCAAAACACCATACCATCCATTGAAGTCAATGGATATGAAACTGAAACTCAAATCAATTATACAATACCCACTAAGAAAGAACTCAACACTCACGTCTCAGAAAATGACTTCTTAGTGTTCTTGTGAAGATTTGACACAGCAATCCTAGCAGCAAGCTGACATATAAACACAGAACACATGTAAATTATACAGATCAATGTTATCTCCTATCAAAATCAACGAATACCCAGAAAGGAAAACGAAGAGAGATACTCACAGATGCATAATCAGGATGGTTACAAGTCATAGCAGCAGCAGTCTCAGCAGCCAATTCATCAAGTTGACTCGTAGTAACTCCCTTATAGACACCAGCACAAACCTTCTGAGCAACGAGGACAGGGTCACAATGGTCACTACTAAGCCCATAGCTAAGTTTCTTAAGCCTCGCAGTAATCTTATCGAAATGAACAGTCTCCTGTCTTCCGTCACGCTTCACTACATACATATTTCTTTGTCAGAAGGAAACAAATCTCTCTCAGAGGAATTTTATCGAACAGATGATGTGCAATGGTGTTGCAGGAAAGAAATGGTTTTTATAAAGAGATAAGAAGGAGGCGTCAAAGGGGTTTTTGGGGTTTCGGTTTTCAAAATGTCTAGGGTTTCTACTTTCTTGTGATTTTGTCCTTTAATGGCCGAAATTTTTATCGACTTTCCCGGGAAAAGATTTGGGATTTTCCCGCCAGCTTCTAGGAGAAGGAGCCATTGGGCTTTTTTCAAGTGGCGGGTAGATTATTTCAAATTTTGTTATGGTTGAATGTGGACCAGGCCCATGAAGTTGATGTGTCTTTGAATGGGCCCAACTATTTTTTAAAATGAGATTGTTCAAGCTATGAATTTTTCATATTTTTCTTGTTTAGACATTATAAAATTTTATTCAATGTTGAAGTCTAACATTCGTGCAAAATAATTTGCATGTTGAATATAAGGTTTTTTTAAGTGGATCGCCTCAAATTATTTAAAAATTTTGTACTAATATTGTAGAAATCGTGTATACTAAGAAATCTAAAAGCACTCTAGTTTCCAAAATATTTATGTAATATAAAAAAACATTAAAAAGTAGTTGTCATTTTGATAAATTTTCTTTGAGGGAAGCCGATTCTTTAGTTGAGTACATGGTGAAAAAAAAACTATCTTTTCTCTATTCAAAATGTTTTTATTTTAACTTTTTTCTCTAATGAAAAACACAAGAGAGAAGAGATATAAGATAAAGAGATATTAACAGAGCTAAAAAAGTTCTAAATATAAAATCTCTCAAGAACATCTTTGTAATCTCAAAATCTAGTGGATTCCGAGATTTATTCTCAGCAACATATATGTTATATCACTTTGGTTAGTTGAACTCGTTAACTCTCTTGTGCCATTTACTTTCTTTTGATTTGCATCATCTTCACACTCATATATCTGTTTCTTCATTTCTTTGTTTCTTCATTTCTCTGTACAAACATCTCCGAAAACGTTACTTTGCAAGTCTTGAGTTTTAAGGAGGTTAAAACCTCACACTCTACAAAAAAAAAAAAAAAAATTATCGTTTATCAACGATAGACTCCGATGTTAAGTCCGCTGTCAAATCTGAAAATAATGTTTTATAATTCTGCCTTTGAGATGCTCTTTGAGTCCAACCTTCCTTGCGATGAGTTTACCAAAGCTCTTAGTTTATCAACCTCTTCAGCCTTATCCTTACCCCTCTTATGGTCCTGAGCACACAGGCCCCGAATCTCACCATGGTACTATGCCACTTGAAGTCTGCTTCTTACAGGAGAAGTTGAAGTATGGTCTTGAAGCTACTCTGTCATTTCAACCTCACCTAGCTGGTCAGCCTATGTAGCAGCCTTCAATTCCGAAGCCTGACACTTACTCCGTTTATGGTCTTGAGCACACCGTTTATCACCCTCAATAGAATTTGAAGTATGGTCATGAGCACACAAGCCACGAATCTGACCAGACGACTCTGGTGGACCTACTCTTTGATTCCTACCCTCGGCTATAGCTCAAAATGGTGTCAGTTAAGCTCAACAATGTCCACTCATCCAATTTGCTCCATGCAAATGGAAAGATCTCGTATAGTGTTAGAGATGAATATAACATCATCGTCATAATCTGTTTTTTGGAATCTTACTCTCGTCTTTGTCCTAATGCCTGGGTGAATTGTCCAGACGATACGATCATCATGAAAGGTGTCGAATGTATCGCTTCTTCTAGTAAAGTCTCTCTTCGTTCTTTAGCAGCTCCGACCATTCACCGTCTCCGTCAATCTGGCCGTCTATGTCGATAAGCCGCCGACTCTCTCGATCTTGTCATATACGTCGATCGATAAGCCGATGACGCTTGTTTCTTTTATTAGTTATGTCCGTCGTACCTCCGACCGCCACACTTAAATCTCTCTCATTTCTTCCTTCTTCTTCCAATTAAATCCCAAGAACGCCGCCTCCAAACTCCATGTTCCTCCTCGCCCTCTAATCTCCGCTAATCTGGTACCCTCTCACTCTCTCTTACTGTACCAGTAATAAGTTGGTTTAAGTTCTCGAAAATAGACTTCAACGCACCTCTTCTTTTAACATAGTATCAGAGCCCGAACACACGCTTGCCCGTCTAATCCGGTCCAAAAAAAAGGCCCGATCACCGCCACTAGTTGATGGTCCAAAAGAAGGCTCAAGTCTATCAAGATAGCTAGAAAATCATTATCTTGAGGCAAGGTGATAGATTTTGTTTAGATTAATGACTAGAATAACCATCAACATGAATTTCAATATTTGGATCACGGACTACATCAACTCCGACCATCTTCCCACCATGTTCTCCAAAATCCATATCTTATTTCTAAATCACTGGTATAATCAGGGTCGGCTCAAAGCATCTCATAGGCTTTTAGACGGAAAAAAAATAGACTAATACTACATAAGATTGTGCATAAGCATGTATAATACAAAACTGTTTGGGATCCTTGCTGAACTTTGTTGAAGACAAGAAAGAATGATGAAGAGATATATTGCATGGAAGTTCTTAGACGAGGAGCTAGGATGTTTTGACTTCCAAAGTGTTATATCAAAGAGTCAAAACATCTATATACCTCCAAATCTGTTTCGGATGATGCAAGCTTTATTTATTCAACATGATGTGGGAAGTGAGGGTTTTTTCCACCTATTGTGGATGTAACATTGTGTAGATTTAACCTGCCACATCTACTCATCCCATATTTTTACTTGAAACTCTAAGTGGCAGGTTAAATCTACACAATGCCACTTGCATTGCTTGCCTTAATATACTTTTCTTTTACAAATTTGACTATCCTTGAGAAAAGTTGTGCTCCAACACCTACTCATCAAGGGTACGTTGTGTGTCACAAACATCCACTCGATCAACTGAATGTTTACAACAGTTTCTTTACTCACTCTCGGCCTCTCTTTACATGTTTAATTATCAAGATATAACAAAAACCATAATACAAGCTACAAGAATCAGAAGATGACTCCAAGTCTCCAAGATAATTAAGAAGATGAAGCTTTCAACGAGAAGTTCACGAAGAAGACCCCTGACCCAAGTTCACTCAACATCAAATAATAAAAGATGTGATCATGTGATTTAATTTTTACTGCAATAAGTAAAAAATTATCACCAAAATTTTAAGATATTTTGTGGTGCATGTGCTGGTTTGTTGTAGAACAACATTATAAACTTTTGAAAAGGTAAAAAATAATGATCTCAGTTGGCAGTTGGCACATCATAGAACTCAGAATTTAAAATTCAAAACGAAATCATTTGCACGTAAATAAATTTTTGAATATTACGAAAAAAATTTGAATGTACTATCAGATCCAAGATCTTTTCATCAAAACCAAAGTAAAATTGTTTAATTTTTGCAACGAAAATGCCTAGGAAGGACAAAAAAACGTACAGTACCACGTCTCATATGTGAACCAAAATATTTACAATTGTAATCTGAAAATCTCCAAAAACTATTATCACAGATTCTCAAGCTCCAACGCTAGATTAAGGACTAAACATGTACACACAAAAAAGCCCATTGAACAAGTTACTAACAACGATTAACAAAAGTAATTAAGAAGCGATAATTAACCATCTCCGATCCCTTTCCTCCATTAATCCCTAATCTCCTTCGTCGCTTTGTAAATACTCTCGAGAGATCGAAACTTCTTTTCCTTCATCACCGCCCTCTTCCTCTTCCTCTCCACACCAAGAATAGAGTTTCCTCGTACGCCGTCGTTTTGCTCGTGTCCGATTCTCGAGCTAACATATTCATGCTTTGTCTTGTCTCCGCCTCCGCCGCCACAATCTCCGCCGGTGCTGCTGCTACAGCTCACCGTCTCTTCTTCGCTTAGCTGCATAAGCTGCTCAGCCGCGGCCATATCCGTCTCCGAGAACACCATCTCCGGCGCCGATTCTCTAGAAAATCCTGTTTCTCCCATTGGATCGTTCATGTAGAGAAATTAATTAATCTGTAAGAAAAATAAACAAGAAGTTAAACAAACGCGAGAGTCGATTTATATTTATTTAAAAGATTTTGTTATTTGTTTTTGTCTTGTCGTTTTTTCGTTTTTGTGTAATGGAAAAAAGAGAGAAACTACAAAGTCGGTTTCGTAAGAAGAAGAACGTGTCTTCTGATATTATTTAATTTTATTTAAAGAAAAGTGCTGATCTAGTGCAACCGTGTGTATCGTATCTCTAGAATCTGATCCGTCAAAAGTTATAGATGAAGTTTTGTCTCTAGATGAAGTTTTGTCTGGTTGATCCAACGGCTATGAAAGCTTTCCTATGTTACTTCTTCAATGAGGTTTACTTTTAGCTTAAACACAGATATAGATGCGTTTGACTTCTATTACACGATTTCGGTGGGTTCCACGTAAGCCAAATTCCGATTCCAAATATGGGACTGTCACCTAAGTGGGTCCCTAATCCACGTGTTACAATCCCATTAGTTGAAGGAAACTCTTTTGTGGTATCTGTAGAAAACATTTATACGTCTTTGCCAATACAATATTTGACCGTATCTTGTTACAAATGATGATGATTTAACGTTAGACAAAAACGAATCTCTAACTACATGTTGTAATACTATATGACTACAATGAACGATTTAGCAAACTATTTTACAACAAAAACATCTAATTACACCAACATCAAAATATACTAATGACATACAGTTTAGGCGTAATGAAGTTGTAAAATTACAACGTACGATTCTTTCTACAATACGCTAAAGAAAATTTGTAACCAAAAGTATTATAATGTAGACGGAATTTCAAACACCAAATCTAATGTGAAAGTATTTAATCCAGTAGACCAAAAGACTTAATTTAAAAAATTTAAACAAGAGGTTAAGAAATAACTTAAAATAAAACTTAATCTACTTTTAGGATTAACTTACTATGATTACCATCTACGGAAGGGCAGGCCATAATTACACTAACAAAGATTTGAAAAAAAAACTAATTATTTATTACAGTGAAATAAAAGAAGTAATGAAGAAAAGACTTGAAAGAAAACGTAACACGTAAAAACTGCACTGAGCTCTTTATGTCTACACATTACCCACCACTAAAAGAGCACACATCACCATCATCGCCATCATTATCATTATCATCATCATCATGGCTTCTTCCAGCGTTAAAACTCCGTTTCGTGTTCTTCATGAATCTACGATCTTTAACCATGAAAGACTGCAGCTTTTGTTTTCTTCTTATTATTATAAAGAAAGAAACCTAGTTGTTCTCAATTTAAACAGTCAAGACCACAAATCTCCAAGACCGGTCCATCTTTGGACACAAAAGGATTGACTCTAACCCACAAGAGAGTCAAGATCGAAGCAAGAAGAATCGACCAAACCAATATAATGGTTGGTACTCTATCTTGCTTCCCAAGCAACCCTTTGAGGAATGGATACAAATGAACAATCACCCAAAGCGCAAAGAACAATCTCCCAAAAAGCGGTCCCCAAGAGTCATACCCGTTATTTATCGCATCCGAAACTCCGACAATGACTCCTACGATGTTAATGATCAGTAGAGTAGTCGGAGGAATCAACAAAGATGTCCATTTGAAGATGTAAAGCTCTGAGAACTCTCCATCATCTGCTGCTTTTGATGTGACTGTGAAGTTTGTGTTGACTCCTGCAAGAACTTTGAGTAAACCTTGAAACAGAGCAAATAGATGGGAAGAGACTCCTCCTATGACCCAAAACTGCTCGTTTCTCCACCAATCGTCAATTCCTACTTTGCCCCATTGCATTTCGAGTATACCCGTTACCGCAATGGACATGAACATTAGCATGAAGAGAATACCCGCGTAGTTACTTATCTGTCAAAAGTCACAAATCAATGAAACATCGTCAAAGTTTTGATCTTTCAATTTCAAGATTCGATATTTTGATTCTAAAAACTATAAAGATTTGATCTTTTGATTCCAAAACTATCTACAACGCCGCTAGTTTACCTCAGGGACGATGAATTTTCCGGTGAGTAAACAAATGGCTGGAAGTGAGCAGTACACAAGTAACGGAAGGGATGTCCAAGGATAGACAACGGAGTTGATGTAAGAGAATCTTTCCAACCATTTTAACCCGCCGCCATAACCATACCAAATCGGGCAATGCCTGCTCAAGAAAATCTCGACAGAACCAAGTGCCCAACGTAGAACTTGATGAAGACGATCTGACAAGTTAATGGGAGCAGAACCTTTGAAAGCCGCTCGCTTTGGCATACAATACACAGATCTCCATCCATGGCAATGCATCTTGAAACCCGTCAAGATATCCTCCGTGACCGAGCCATAAATCCACCCAATCTGTGTAATATAATATCATCCAAAAGCATAATAAGCTCTCATTTTTAAGTGCAAAAAGATATTAGAGAAGTTATAGCTCTGCTTACCTCTTTTCCCCATTCGGTTTTTTCTTCGTATCCACAGCTAATAACTTGAATGGATTCTCTCAATAAAGACGCTGGGTTAACATTGCTAGGCACTCCACCATTTAGCAGAAGAGTAGAAGCCACAAAAACCGGTGATTGACCAAATTTCTTCTCCAATTTCAGTTGGGCTGTCTCAGAGTTATTCTCAACATTTGACACTACAAATCAAAACCACATCATCAACCAGATGAGCATGGCATCAAATTTTTTTACTCTATCAGCAAAAAATGTTATTTATTATTATGATTTACCTTGGAGACCTTCCTCGATGTGCTCAAGAGCATGTATCTGTTTTGAAGTCTCTCTAGGCTTCTTTCTCTTGTTATCTTTCGCCTTAGCTGTCTTCTTCTTTCTCAGACCGCAACACAAACAACACCACTTTGGCCAACAGTTGCAGGTTCTACCTGGTGGTTTCTTCTTCTTTGGTGCATCAAATCCATAAAGTGCTTGTCTTCTGAAGACACACCCTGTCCCTACATATATCGGTCCTTGTATGCCATCTAAACCTTTCATGTTGATCTGTTTATAATAATAGAGACACCAATGAGAAGGGTAGCAGTAACATAAACAGAACAAAGCAAAAACAAATTCAGAGAAGTCGTACATCGAAGAAAACCACATTGCGGTTTGAGTATCTATCGTGTCTATCAATCCCATCAAACCTCTGAGGAAACTGAACATAACAGATTTTCTTTCCGGATTGCGGGTCCATCATGAAACACATAGCTTCTCTAATTGCCTTGCTGTTGTTGATGTAGTGATCACAGTCCACATTAAGAAGGTAAGGAGCATTTGAGAGAACAGCAGACACCCGGATCTTCAAGAAAAGCAAATGAGTTTAGTTTACGAAATTTGGGAAATCGAAAGACAGAACAATGAAAAGAAACAGATCCTAACCAAGGAATTCATAGCTCCAGCCTTCTTATGGTGGTCAAATCCCGGTCGCTTCTCACGAGATACATACACCAAACGAGGTAACTCATTTCCATCCATATCACAAACTCCGCTGTGTCCCAAGAAAACCTTCCATTGCAAAAATCTTATTAAGCTTCAGTCTATGACATATGAGGAACCATCATAAGCACATAATCATTACCTGAATCATTCCAGGATGGTCCCGGACATTGTTTCCAGGCCAAGGAGTTCCATCTTGCATTGCCCAACCATCCTCAGGAACTTTCTGTGCTACAGAAACCAATGCATTTATCTTTACTTTGAATTCCTCATAGTCTCTCTGCAACAACAAAACCACCAAAAAATGGACAAAAAGAATCAAGCTTTGGTTCAAATGCGGATCAATCCTTTTTTTTAAGGATAAAACGACAAACCTTCATGGCACGGCGTTCCCTAACAAAAGCAGGATGGACTTTATGCTTCAAGTAATCCATTTTCTGTGAAAAATACCATTCAGGAGCCCGTGGCTCGATGCTGAACTTCTTACAGAAAGGAACCCATTTTCTTGCAAACTCGGCTGTGTAAGAGAGAGCTTCAAATGTAAGCATTGCAGCACCATCATCTGATACATAACATGCAACCTTCTCAACCGGATAATCAACAGCGAGAATAGACAGAACTGTATTTGCTGTAATCAGTGGAGGCTCTTTCAATGGATCCACAGTACTAACAAAGACATCAACAGGCGCTAACTCTGATGGCTGCCCTTCCTTCTCATACCTGAGAGAAAGCCTGTCAAGATATGTTTCTCTTTCGATGGGATACCACTTTGGAAACTGATCGAGAATCCAAGACACAGCAAACCATATTTCGCATATTACCGATGTTAACCACAAGCCGAATGCATCATTCACCGGATGGAGAATCCTATAGTGGAAGAACAAACCAAGAATGGCGAGCCGGCAGAAAATCAACATCCTATAAGGGTTTATTCTGCTCGACCGAATGGGTAGCTTTCGTGACAGAGGCTGTCTTCCTTCATCCATCCTGAACCACGTCAAAGAAACGTCAAGGGAACAGAAAACTCTTTACTAAGAAATATGGAGTAAAAGTTTCAACTTACATAGGTAGCTCGGGATCATCAAGCTCGTCAACAATGAAGCCATCACCATCGCCATTGCCATCAATTCCTCCTTCATTCTTAACGACTTGAAGCTTTTCTACTTGTCGATTCTTCCATATTTCCATACGGTCTTTCCATGCAACACTTCCATATCCATAAACTGCAAGATCCTTCTGAGGAACCATGGGTCTTGTTTGTACTGTAACAACATATAGGTTTCATCATCAGGAGGCAACTTCATATAAAACGATAGCAATGAGATAGAGTTTATCAGTAACACATACTAAATGCAAAAGAATCTGTAAATGGCACAGAATTGACTCTGTTCCCCAAACCCGTAGATGGGGGTACGATAAGAGCATGTCGATCCGAATACATATCAGCATCCTGAAACATGTTTATTAAAAGAATCATCAAACCATAGGGATTTCGACAATGTACACAGAAAATCGATCATGTGGATTTTACGGAATGAAGTCTGACCTCATCACAATACGTCAAAAGAGGAACCTGAGAGACCTCTGGAGCTGAATACAAGTGTGACACTTCGTTAGTACCACGACCAGTGTTAAGACGCATAGAGAGCGCGGCTTCAGCAACATGTTCAGGATCCATTCCATAAAACTCATGCTCCAGATCATCAATGTCATCATCTTCTTCATCCCCTTCAACCCTGGGACTACCTACATCATTTATAATCAACCAATTCACTCACTCACTTTTCTCAAAAAAAGTGAGATGAAAACACAAAGAAGAAATGTCTCGCCTTTAATACGCTTGTATCGGGTTCTGCATTGAGGACAAGCTTGATTTCCTTCTCTTCTTTCATACTCATAGCACGGTCTACACGCAGGGAATGCACATTCGTTGCAAGCGATAAATGGCTCACCATTCTCTGTTAACTCAATCTCATCTCTACAGATTTTACAAGTTTGTCCACTCAGTTCTTGTACTGATCGTATCTGTACACAATGCCACATTCATAGTAACAAAACAATATCAATCTTCTTATCTTATTTAACAAAGCTCCTGATACCAATCTATTCAAAATTTTATAAAGTTTTTAAACTTTTTTTCCATGAATTACAGAATTCAGACTCAACAATACTTTAGTATATATGCAACTTCTTGGAATCAACATCAAATGACAAACGAATTTCAATACTCAGGATAGATAGATACAACAAGCTGACAAACCGCATGGAGATGAGTCTGAAACTGACACTAACTTTTGTCTCATTGATCATTTCCGACACGTATAATTCATGCAAAACTTGGAACCAAAAAAACAGGTGAATTCCAATAAAGACTTGTGTTTGAGAAAACGCAAATTCAATCTCAAAACCCAGATCGATCCAAACAGAAGATACATTTCTTGGTTTTATTATCCAAACAAAAATTGAGAAATCTTACTCTTGCAGTTTCGTCGGCGTTAATGAGAACGAATTCGTTTCTATTGTGAGACCCAGCAATAAGTCGACCTCCAGTGTTCATGATTCACAAGTCCGATCAGATCACAGAAACAGAAAAAAAGTTTCTCTTTTTACAGATACTTCAGCTCATAGAACATGAACGGGTCTGACCCGACCCGGATAATGGATCCAGACGGTTGCACTCCCATTACAAGAAATGCGCACTCACTGTAGATAAAAGGGGAGAAGGAGAGAACAACCACTGAGTCTTTGCCTTGGGAATTTTATTTTCAATAACTAAAAATAAAAACTCCGAAAAAAATCCCAATTTTACAAAAGAAAAAAACAATCTTTCCGGGTCAAAGAAATTGGAGACTGAGAGAAGCAATGTGATTCCACAAAATGCGAAAACCCTTTTAAGTTTTGTGAATAAATCTATTAAGAAATTTTGAAGAGTGACACAGAAGCAATGTGAAATTCTAGGGTTTGGTACTACTCATAAGTTGAGAGAAAGAGACACACGAAACAGAGAGAGAATTTGTGTTGGAACGAAATAGCGTTTATACAACACTAAAACTATAATTTATATGAGTGAGAGCTCACTGATCTCTGTAAAAGATTTGAGTGAAAGCGGAGAATATGGTAACCATTCTGGAGACAAATCAGAAAAGAGCAAAGAAAAAAGGTGACTTTCCCTCTATTTCTCTGGTCTTTTCTCGGGAAATTTTTGGCGTTTATGTGAAAATGTGTCATATAGAGAGAGAAGAAGCGTTAGGTATACACAAGTGGTGGATGAAGCTAAAAAGTGTTTACTGTTGCAAGACATTGATGATGAAGCCATTACCGAATTGATGATCCTCTAATTTCTTTGTTTTTTTTTATAAAACTCTTTCCGTGTTAGCGGATTCGGGTAATGGCTAAAATAGGAAAAAAAGTGTGTGGCTGCTGGGATTCGAGCCCAGGTCCCCACGGCCACAACGTGGGATACTAACCGCTATACTACAGCCACTTTTGTGGATCAATCTTCAAAGTTTTCATATTTCTCAAGTAAATTTTGACTCTTCGCTTGTATTATTAGGTTAAGACCGTTATCCATGATTTAAGATTAAGTAAAATCATTAACTCTCTGCCCTCTCCCACTTCCTCCACTAAAAACAACATTTAATCACCAATTAAACCTTAAAGATCTTTCAAAACCAAAGTATTATAAATTGCAACAACTCTTGCAAGTCCCCATCATCATCATCATCACACAACACAAATCCAAAAAAAAAAAAAAAATGGCTTCTAACACAAGTTTCCTCTTTGTCACCGTCACTCTTCTCCTTGCCCTCAACGTCTCTGGCAGAACACTCCCGGCGGTGGCGGATTCCACCAACATTGCGGAAAGGCTTACCGGAGGAGGACTGATGCAGTGTTGGGATGCACTCTACGAGCTGAAATCATGTACTAATGAGATTGTTCTCTTCTTTCTCAACCGTGAGACCAAACTCGGCTCCGGTTGCTGCAACGCTGTTGATGTCATAACCACTGATTGTTGGCCGGCGATGCTTACTTCTCTTGGCTTTACATCTGAGGAAACCAATGTCCTCCGTGGTTTCTGTCAGTCTCCGACTTCCGGCGGTTCTTCTCCGGCTCCTTCCCCTGCCGAAGTTTGATAAATTTTTATGGTTATAATATATAGTTTTCTATGGTATGATGAGAACATGTATGTTCACTGATTTAAAGTTTGGAATAAAAGCGTTTGTGTTTGGGATTACCATTGCGTTTATACAAGGATAAGATCCACTGAATTGGAATAGCTTAGAACCATTATCAGAACAAAACCAAATTTTGTTAAGAATCAGAGCATAGTAAACTGCAGAAATAATAAACCTAAGAGAAGTAACTTGTCCAAGAAGATACTTAATCTATGCCTTTTTGCAGTCTATCTTATAATCTCTGAATTTAGAACAATTATCATAGTTTGTCAGACACAAAATGTGCAAATAACAGAGAAACTAGAAAACTTGAGAATACACATTCTTTTATATTTGTATTGGAGATTGGGAAAATTTGACCATATGTTTTAAGTTCCTAAAAATACATGTTCTATATAATGGTTATATACTGTAATTTGACCCTATGTTTAATGATGGATAGTTACACATCTACAACACTATAGCATCTTATTTAGATTATAACAAGAAACAAATTATATGAAAACCATAATTTGACCATATGTTTAATGATGGATAGTTACACAGTATTTGTAACATATTTTAAAAGTTACTAAAAATAGCATAAAGTTCAATGAGTAGTGAAAACCATAGCATAAAGTTCAAATGAGTTATAACAAAATCGTTCACCTTCTGTAACACGACGTTAAACCTTCGTCTCCTATAGGACCGTTACTCATTCAACAAGCCAATATTTAATACGTTTCCACTAGCTATCAAGTGCTTTAAAGTTTCATGTTTAAGTGAAACCATTTACGTACCGTCATTCCTTTCCCATTCCTCCCACTAATCCACCTTTTAATTACTCTTAAATCACCACTAAGCTTCAAATCCATCCGAAACCACACTATAAAAACAGAACTCTCGTAACTCAATCATCACAACACAACACAACAAAACCCCAAAAGAAAGAATAATGGCTTCTTACACAAGTTTCCTCTTTGCCATCGTCGCTCTTCTGCTCGTGCTCAATATCTCCGGCAGAACACTTCCTGCGCCGGCAGATTCCACCAACATAGCGGCAAGGCTCAACGGAGGAGGACTAATGGAGTGTTGGAACGCACTGTATGAGCTCAAATCATGCACAAACGAAATCGTTCTGTTCTTCCTCAACGGCGAGACCAAACTCGGCGTCGATTGCTGTCAAGCCGTCGAAGTCATCACCACTGATTGTTGGCCGGCGATGTTAACTTCTCTTGGCTTTACCTCTGACGAAACCAACGTTCTTCGCGGCTTCTGTCAATCTCCAAATTCCGGTGGTTCTTCGCCGGCGCCTTCCTCGGTGAAACTTTGATGTATGCAAACTCCAATAATGGTTATAATATATAGTTTTTAAATGATATAATTGGCATGTCCCTTTGGATTTTTCTGTGTGACTAAAACCGCATTTATACCAGGACAAAGAACCATCAAACTGGAATAATAATATTTAGAACATAAATAGGGTTTGTTAAGAAACAGAGCATAGTAAGAACAGACAAAGTTTCTCAAACAAGTATGTAGTAGATTCATGTTTTTGCAAAACCCTTATAAAAGTCTTAGTTTCATTGCTTTTAAACAATTAACAGACAAAACCAGGAAACAGAGCATATAAAGAAAAGACAAGTAACAAGTCCTAGAAAACGGATTCATGATTGTGTAACCATCCTCAAGATTCAAGAAAATCTCAGAATCTAGACGTGATCGAGACTCCATGGTCGACATGTTCCTTTAAATTCTCAGCTGATGAGTCAGTGACTAAAGAGTTGGCCACATCGATCACGAACCGGTACCTGACATCAGATTTAGCCAAACGGTCCATAGCAGAGTTGATATCACTCATCTTTATGAGCTCAATATCCGCAACGATATTATGCTTAGCACAGAACTCAAGCATCTCTTGGGTCTCCTTCATCCCTCCAATCTGACTTCCTCCCACCATTTTCCTTCCTATAACAAAACACCAAAACCCTAACAGTTACTTTCACAACACGTAAAACATAGATTCAGAGCTTATAACAAAGGGTTGTCATCAATTTCTTTACCGAGAACTAGAGGGAACATTGGTAGCTCGAGTGACTTCTCCGGTAAGCCTAAAGCCACAAGTTTTCCACTCACTTTAAGCAAACCAAACAACGGTAACAGAGCATGTTCTGCTGATACCGTATCGATAATGAAATCCATAGTTCCAGTTGCATCCTTCATCTTTTGAGAATCCGTTGTAACAAGAAACGAATCAGCACCGAGTCGATCAATTGCTTCCCTCTCTTTCTCTGATGACCTACTAATCACAGTAACTCTTAAACCAAAGGCTTTACCAATCTTCACAGCGATATGACCAAGTCCACCAAGTCCATTCACACCTAAATGTTTCCCTGACTCTTCAGTCATGCCATAATACTTCATTGGACTGTACACAGTGATTCCAGCACAGAGCAGCGGCGCGCCTGCATCGCTTGGTAAACCATCGGGAATGCTTAGGACAAAGCGGTGATCGACAACAATGACGTCGGAATAACCACCTTGGTTTCTGGTTCCGTCAGAGGAACGAGAGTTGTATGTGAAAACGACTTCAGGACAATAGTTTTCTAAGTCTTGGTTACATGATTCACATGATTCGCATGAACCGATTATTACGCCTACTCCTACTCGGTCTCCTTCTTTAATCTTTGTCACATTCTTACCAACTTTTGTTGCTATTCCAACGATTTCATGCCTAGCAAATTAACATAATTAGCCCAAGGAAAATATATAGTTGTTAAAGATTGAAACTGCTAAGCCCTAATCATACGGAGAGGGCTAACGCCTAGCCAATAGAATTTTTTCCCCACATTAAAAGTCTTTTTGATGAATGTGAAAAAATTCAAAATAAATTTTAAATAATTCTAATATATTATTTTTAATATATGTATTTTTAATTTTAAATATATTAGTTTTAAAATCTAAACTCCCAAAGATATATTTCTTATTCTATAATGTAATAAAATCTCCAGGATATTTTTCTTTATTTGCAATTCACTAAGATCTCCTATATATACAAATTTGGGAAATAAGAATATTTGGGACCATGAAATGGGTAAGTACAGTAATGAGAATACCCGGGAACAATGGGGTAACGAGAGATTCCCCAGTGGTTCTTGATGGTATGAAGATCAGAGTGACAAACACCACAGAACAAGATTTTCACTGTTACATCGTTCTCACCATTTTCTCTGCAATAATATGACACCAAAACATACAAAAGTTGTGAAAGAGAATCAATAAGAGACTAGTGTGTCGAAAGAAAAAGAAAGGAACCTTCTAGAGAAATGAAATGGAGAGAGGACGCCAGATTCGTCGTTGGCTGCCCAACCAAATGCGTTACTTCGATCCACCATATTTGTTTCTCTCTGTTTTTATGAACGATTGGGTTATGTTTTATGCCTGAATTGAGATAATAGGGTGGGGGCATATAGAGGGGTCTAAATGTAACACAAGTGTAATGGAATTAGTGGAATTTTAGTGGGGTAAAAATATGTCACATCATTTGAAGATGAGGAATTGAAGGATTTGTGGATGTAATTTAAAGAATTGTTGAAATTTTAAAAGTTTCTATGCTGGGTGATTTCTTTTTATATATGCACTACATATTACCATGACTAGCTTAATTTATAAATAAAAATAAAGATTTTAGTTTATATTATATTTATATAATATGAATATATTTATTGTAAATACAGTATATATATATATATATATATATATATATATATATATATATCATTAAAAACAGAAAATTTTATTTAAGAATATAAAATTCTAATAACTTTCTGTTTGTTTGGTGTAGATACACTAAAATTGGTTCACTTTGGTTCAATTTGTAGACAGAAGTAAAACAGAGAGAAGATAGACAAAAGAGCTTTTAAGCTTATATTTCAAGATTTCATCTTTTCAACCTATTGTTGTCTGTACATTAGGTTTGTTTAAATACTAAAGAGAGACAAAGGAACTAGGGTTTTAGAAGTGCCAGCTCATTGATCCATATTCTTGAGTGAGCTGTATCTATTGGTTAGCTGTATTGAGGATGGAGACAAAACTGTACTTGATGTTGCAGAGGAAGCTCTGCTTTTGGTGGTCAACATTACCGTTGAGTCACTTGACTCAGCTTTGGGCTTCATGGGCCTCGATTCATGATGGGCTTGACTTGAATCCTTTACATCCCCTCGCAAACTTGAGGTGGGGCAACGACCAACTCCAAGTTTGAACCTGAGAGAGTAGAAGGCTGCTTGTGGCAGAGACTTTGTAAAGATGTCAGCTAATTGCAGCCAGGCCGGAACGTGTTTGATCACAAGAGAACCATCTGCAACTTTTTCCCTTGCAAAGTGATAGTGAGTCTCAAAATGTTTGGATCGCTTGTGCAACACTGGATTGGCAGTGAGGTGAACCGCTGATAAGTTATCACAGTATAGCTCAGCTGGTCTGTCTTGTTGAATCCCAATGTCTTTAAGAAGGGAAGAGATCCAAGAAAGTTCTGCTGCTGTATCAGAGAGAGCTCGATACTCTGCCTCAGTAGAGGACCTAGCCACTGAGTCTTGTCTTTTTGCAGACCAGGAGATCAAATTTAACCCTAAGAAGGTACAAAATCCTCCAGTTGACCTTCTGGTAGAAGTGCAGCCTGCATGATCACTGTCACTGTAGGCCCTTAGAACTGAGTCTGTATTGGTACTAAGTGTCAATCCCATGTCGATTGTCCCTTTAAGATACCTGAGAGTCCTTTTGAGGAGAGCAAAATCTGAAACAGAGGGCTTGTGCATTTTCTGACAGATGTAGTTGACTGCAAACTGCAAGTCCGGTCTGGTGAGTGTCAAGTATTGTAGCTTCCCTGCAAGAGATCTGAAATAAGTCGGATCTTCAAATTCTTTATCTTGGTAGGGAACTCTATTCAGCTGTATGGGCAAAGGAGTAGGCATGGGGGCACAATCCAACATTCCTGCATTTTCAAGTAAGTCTTTAGCATATTTTTCTTGGTTTAAGAACAGACCTTCAGGAGTGAATGTTGCTTGAATCCCCAGAAAGTATGCCATAGGTCCCATGTCCTTCATCCGGAACTCAGTTCCCAGTGATTTCAAGAGATCAGAGATCAGAGTTTTATCATTTCCAGTGAGCACCATATCGTCGACGTATAGAAGAAGCAACATAATGCTGTTGTTTTTAAGATAAACGAAGAGTGAAGGATCCCTTGGGCTGCAGACAAAGCCATAATTCAACAAGTATGAGCTGAATTTATCGAACCAAGCTCTAGGGGCTTGTTTTAACCCGTAAATAGCCTTGTGGAGTCTGCAAACATAGTTAGGGTGTTCCTTGTCCTCAAAGCCTGGAGGTTGTTTCATGTAGACAGTTTCATGGAGATCCCCATGAAGGAAAGCATTCTTCACATCGAGCTGTTTGATATCCCATTTCTCCACTGTTGCCACATGAAGAATCATTCTGACAGTGGCTGTCCTCACCACGGGACTAAAGGTTTCAAGAAAATCTACTCCTTCTTCCTGCTCATATCCTTTTGCTACCAGGCGAGCTCTAAGTTTATCGAGAGTACCATCAGCTTTAATCTTTGTCTTAAAAATCCATTTACATCCCAAGACATTTGCATTGTCAGGAAGAGGCTCCAAACTCCACGTTTTGGTTTCATGGCAGGTATCAATTTCTTCTTCCATGGCTCCAGTCCATCCTGGATGGTTCAGAGCTGCAGCTATAGTTCTAGGTTCTGCAGGGAATCCTTTATTTGCAATAAGGATGTACTTCGGGTTGGGTTTGACAATCCCTGATTTTGCTCTAGTCATCATGTGGTGAGCATTGTTTGTAGCATTCTGTGGAGAACTGAGCAGGGGAAAGTCTTCTTCTGTGAAGATTGGTGATTCTGAATTAGTTGGTGATGTTGTAGTAGAGGATGATGGAGACAATGTAGGTGTGACAGAGCTCGATGCTGCAATAGGAGACGCAGGCTCGGATTCGTGTTGATGTTGCATAGTAGGAGCTATATGATGTGGGGTACGGATCACCACAGCTTCTTCTTGAGTCACTGACCTGTCTGTAGGACTGGGAGCAGGTTGATTTTGTTGCGCAGTATTGCCGAGTTGCCAAGCTGATAAGAGAGGACTGTTTGCTGGAGGAATAAAGGATCTGTATAAGTCTTGATATGGAAATCGAGATTCATCAAAGAGGACATGCCTGCTGATGTACACACGGCCAGTAGGAGGATGAAAACATCGATATCCCTTATATTTCTCATTGTATCCAACAAACACACATAGTAGTGATCTTGGATCAAGCTTGTTTTGTGCATATGGTCGTAAATAAGGGTAGCAAGCACACCCAAACACACGTAAGGCAGTGTAAATGGGAGCTTTGTTGTTGAGAAGCTGATACGGACTTGTCAT